AGGGAAATCTAAAAAAAAATTGGGCTTCTTGACCTGTAATAAGATCAAAATACTCACCAATAAATCCATGATTACATGCACGCCATCAATAGGCATTTCTAAACTTCATTGTCATTGAACTTGTCGTTTCATGAAATTGATTTGTCCAAACCAAGTGAAGAGCACTTACGGAATGACTGGTTACTGCTGCAATGCACCTTTACTTTCGACTATTTCAGTCACGTTTGCAAGGTAACTTGGTGGTTTCACACAAAATTACAAAGATCAGAGGTAGCCTTGCCGATGTCATTACATTGCGATACAGTAAACGAATGATGTTACTTGATATTCCACCCTTTGTCAGAAGAACATTGCCCAGTTTCAGCTACTCAGCTAACACGGTTTATTTGCGTCAACAGCGCACAGCAAAACGAAATACGCATAAAGCTGCTGGCATAACATGTGGAGACGAATTTAGATATTGGCAACCTGACCATTCAGCAGTCGTTGTTGAGAGCAGTCTGCCGCGGACCCTGAAGTTACTTGTAGTTAGTTTAAGGTTCACCCAAACAAACTTGGCAATGTTTTGACAATTTGGATGGTTAAAGTAAAGTTTGGTGAGAACTATCAACGCAAGTTGATGTCTTATCAAGCAACGTTCCTTGTTGGGAATTCGAAGGAACAGTGGACTGGAGCAAGTCGTTAACGTGTGTCTTGAAGCTTATCTCTAGCGATTTATCGCACACGTCATGCGTAGCAATAATAAGCTAGGGGAAGGACCACCAATGGTTAAAAGTAATAAGATTAATCCGCGAAAGCGTAAGCCATTAGCATAAACACAGAAAATTGTGGCACAGTCTACACCAGGCAACATCTTTACCTCCAATTAACTCCACTTTTAAGTGACTAGCTCCCGTGACAGCTTGTCGGAAGACAAATATTTGCGAGTAGTTTTCACCCGTATGGGATTCAGATTGACGGCTCGCGGAACTGTGGTTCAATTGGGTGATGGTAAGGGATTTTCGGACCAGTACCCCAGGAATTCAACTACCAAGAATAGAGAATTGGCGATCAAATAAGTGACCCACACAGAACCATATCTTATTAATGGGTGCAAATGCCAAATACCTGTGCGCTTGTTGAAGGAAAGCACCTGTACTAGATATCTGCTAGGTAGATATCTAGGTACTAAAGTAACCAGTGCACAGGGAAGTTAGAACAGGTGCGTTTCACAACCCCACAGTAATATTCGATACAGATGGGCTCGTAGTTTAGACCTCTTTGCTCTGAAATGCTGCGGTCTTACAGACTTCCTTACGCACATCGTTAGGATTTACAGGTTTCAACGCCAAGTACATTAGAAGCTACATGTAAGGGTCAGACAAGTCTGGTGTCGAAGGTCTTCGACCTAAACCTCGAACAAATATCACACCTAACGGCGAACGCAGATTCGCAAGCCACCTCCATCATTCATTACGTTCAGAACAAGCCTAAGGGTGAGATGGACACTTTGGCCGCTTGACAAAACAGTTCATCAGCTGGGGCAAAGAACACCGGTCAAGGTACTCCCTACCGTTAGTAAAAATGCCTACATCTTGGATTGTTGTTGTACAGAAGTTCCACTTCTGGCGATTCACTAACAAACGATTCAAAAACAACATCCAATCACCACACAACCATTACACAAACACTGGTCAACAAACGGCTAGTCAACATCAAAACTAAGTGATCAACTACGAGGGCCAGGGGATACATATCGAGCGTGTGAACAAACCATCACCAGCAACAACAGCAGTAAGCGAATACAGCAAAAAAGGAGCAGGAGGGATATCATAGCAATGAACGGAGTCCAAAATTCATGCGAATTCGTCACTACATGAACTTCTTTACCATTTACCTTTTGAGTATCTATTTAACAAGGATAATACGCCGGTTCTATATTTTAAATTTCGAAAGGAGGATGATTTGGTTTGTAATTGAAGCCTTTTGGGGGAAAGATTACAAAAGTCGACAACGGATATTTAGACCCAAAAGATAAATAGTTAACTGAAGACGCAAGTGCGAACTGAACCTATCCCAGTACGGAATGTCTATCTACGCGTTCAATTAGTGTGCGCAGGATAGTAGCTCACCTGGGTCTTCTGAACACTGTCCCGTAGAATTGACACGCTTGACCAACGGTCGGGGTGTAGATGAGTGGCATACAGTACTCAATATGTTTGATAATTAGCTAGAAAATTAACCGAACGGAAGGGAAATAATTGAATTGGAACACCAGAAACGCGACAAGATAAAGATGTATCACATAAAACGCACACACAGAAGGGTACTTCAATGGGAAAATTAGAGAAATGATGGATACAAGGAAATATGGGAACAACCATTTGTTAGTAATAATCCCCCCCCCCCGAATAATACCTCCGAGCATTCGGCCGGATGGAGATGAAGTGACAATATAGGGCTTTATCCCGACCGTTCTTGGTTTTGATCAACTTGAATCTAATCAAGCTGGGTTGAGTTCGCTTGCCCTCCCTAAACAATTAGACTTAAAACCACGCAACCACCGACATGAGGAGACTACATGGCTCGACCAAAAGGTTATCTTTAGTTTTGCGTAGTTGAGAAAGTAAGAATTCCTCGTTCCCTCAGCTATGTGAAATATCAGATAGGATCCTACGAGGTTCAGTTTACTCCAGTTGCCTCAGATTGCACTAATTACGTTTTTTCCAGTCAGATAAAATAAGTGAGAGATGCAACTAAAAGGGCAGCTTGTAAGGTTATTCCATACATATGGGAAATGCTCCTATCAAACTACACTTTTCATTAAACTTACCCATTCCATATTTACCAGTCCAAAGTGCTACAGGTGCCAGACATTTCAGTGCATCTCGCGCACTGTACTTCACTCCCCCATACTAGACATCCCGTTGCCCACCTTCGTGTATAACATCATTCGTGGTTAGTTTGACAATAAGAACAGTCATCTCCCCCTGATTTACTCCCGGGCATGAATTCAGATCACATCTCATAAAAAAACGTGAACTGATCGCAGAATAACCGTGTACTGCATTGTGTTTGTTCAGCTGTAACACCCTTTCGGTGCTTAACTGCCATGAGACCCGGGGGAAGCACGAGAGTTGGGATATTGCCAGGTTACCCAAGCCTAGACAGAGGAAGTTGAGAGGCAGAAGTCAGGTTCGAACCCCGGACCTACTTGTCAGTAAATTCGCGCTCTAACCACTTGAACCATCTCTGCATTGCGTATATTGCAAAAATTTGTCGGTTAAAGTTCTCAGGAGATTTGCTTGTTCAGCTCACCCTTTCGGTGCTTAACTGCCATGAGACCCGGGGGAAGCACGAGAGTTGGGATATTGCCAGGTTACCCAAGCCTAGACAGAGGAAGTTGAGAGGCAGAAGTCAGGTTCGAACCCCGGACCTACTTGTCAGTAAATTCGCGCTCTAACCACTTGAACCATCTCTGCATTGCGTATATTGCAAAAATTTGTCGGTTAAAGTTCTCAGGAGATTTGCGAGATCAAGTGGTTGTCTTACATTCAGTTGAAATAACGGTGGTGTTAGTGAACAGCACCAGACACATGAGGACGAAGGCCTGTGATGTGCGAATAACTGTCATTTGGATACCGAAAACGTACATGAGCTGGAGCTTCGTGGTGAGCCGATGTGTGCAAACACCAGGTGAACTACACAACAACAAAAATTGAACGAATTCCGATCCAAATCACGAGAAGCGGATAGAAAATTTCCCAAGTAAACGAACGCCCCAAAGTTTTTAGAACAACGTTTGGCACCCAGAAAAAGGATATTCCCAACCCAGACTATCACTAACACCACACACCTTTTATCAGGAGACCAAACAATGTTTGAATGTAGAATAGTGAAAGTCACCCGAACAATGTCGTTTACCATGTCATCCGTAATAAGCTCTATGTCGCAGCCTCAGAATACGTCTTCACATCACATCGTCAATCGCAAAGTTGAAAAGGAAGTGAGATCAAACATCCTTCGTAGAATTCACTTTATATGAAGAAGGTTCATAACTGCCAAATGACAATAAATCTCCCTTCTGAGTGCGTAAACCGACAAAGAATTTCACCTTAAAGACGCAATCGTGGACCGATAGCAGGAAAATCATATTTTGCACTTTACAGAAAGAAAGACACGAGGGAAGGAAGGAGCCATCCAGATCAACATCGTTGTTACGAGATGTGCATCTTTTACCTGATCGCTCTCGGTTATGAAAAATTTCTAACATTCGTTGTTCAAAAATATAACCCGTAGAGCGTGGCCAGGAATACCAGAATAAACTGGCGCAATCCTGTCGACGAAAAAAGTGTTACCGAACCCCTGTGCGTCAAACATCATTGGAACAGGTTGTCTATTCGCTAGATATATTACGTATGCAATGAGCACGGAGGAACACCAGTGATATTCGATTTAGTTTGCTTGAACGAAATATTCAACTCAAGACGCTGATAGACAATTGCAAGCGAAACAGCTAACGAGCCGTGTTGACAACAATAGATGTAACAAGAGGAATCCGTAATCCTTCTTGAATTACATACGATGTGCAGATCATCTCCTATCGTACAAGAGGCAGTAATCGGAAGTAGGATCCGTCAGAAGACAACAAGAGGGAGAAAAGTGCACCACTGTACATTCTTCAAATAGTAGATTCCTTCACCATCAAATGGAACCATATGCATCCACTAAGTCCAAAAAGGGTAGAGGATAAGCGATTTTTGTTCGGATGGAAACGACACGCAATAAACGGATGAATTGGGTCTTGAAGACGTTTTGTCAGCAACCGAGTCAGTAATAAACGGGACAGAAGGAAATTCTGGATGAAAGCGTGGGATGTTAGGGCCTCCGTAAGTTGATTTTCAAATATCTGTTTTGTAAAGTTGCCAGAATATATCGACTCAGTAAGAACACACGACAGGAACGAAATTCTACTGTAACTGAAGGGAAAGTGTCGTTGAAAGCCAACGACAATTGGCAGAAAACTGTGGCAATAGGTGAATCGAAATCAATAACCCAGGGCTATATATGAAATAGGCCCAAGAATGTGATGTCTTTATGAATTTGCAGAAAAAAAAAACAGAAAAACAGGAAGCATCACCTTCAAAATAAACACGACAATACGGAACAGGAAGCTCACCTTCAAAATAAACACGACAATACGGACACAACGGTACACGAATATCATCGGAGTGCCAAACCACGATGCACCCGGAATGAATGGTGATTAGCACCTAAAAAAAGTCTTCGCCCTTGAATACCGAACAAAAATAACACGTGACCACGTGTGAAAACGTAGATAAGATTGTTTACCATGGTTTACACTGATGCGCCGGAAGGAACAGACAAGAAATCCGTGAAATCGATCTCGTTCGTGCTCTTATTCGTTATTGGAGGAAAATAAGACACTAGGGATAAATGTAAAATTCAAGATATCACTCGGAGTAGGTGAAAATGGTGTTCGTGACATTGAGGGTAACTCCAACACTGCGAATCTGGTGTGGCACGCGAGGCCCATAGGTCGAATTAGAAGCAAATACACATATGAGGGACTGCATCAAAATGCCAAACTGATTTGTGGTGTGGAGATTTCTGTCAGATCTCATAATTCGTGGCTAAGTGTTCAACGATTAGTCGGAAGGTCACGGGTTCGAAATCCTGAGTTTCGCGTACTACTGATGATTCCCCATAATGATGAAACAACTGTAGTGTTTCTCTGCTTTCCAGCATAGATTGACTTCACTGACTGGATGAAATCTCCATTGAGAAATGATTATGCTCACGTTGAAAGAAATGCAAGTGGAAAAATCCCATGGTTGAGCGGTTCCATTACACTAGGATGGAATACGTGTAATGCTTCTGTACTTCACTGACGAAATCTCCATTGAGAAATGATTATGCTCACGTTGAAAGAAATGCAAGTGGAAAAATCCCATGGTTGAGCGGTTCCATTACACTAGGATGGAATACGTGTAATGCTTCTGTAGGACATTGATGGATCATTCCCCAAAGTCAAAATGATATATTTAGAAAAAACTGGAGACGTGATCATCAGGGGAGAATCCCCTGAACGCATTTGTCCCACATTTGAGGATCCCGTGGAAATGACCAGGAAGCATTGCATCTAGGTATTCGGTTTGACATGTATCGGATGCTTTCACTGAATAATGAAATGTGCGCTATTCCTTTAATGTAATAAAACAGAGTGAATTTTAGCCATTTTCTTACAGAGTAGTTAATTCAGCTGGATTATAGGACCCACCACTAATAACACTGGAGGTGGAAATACGATGTCCCATCAATATGACTGATAACAAGGCTTTCAGTGGAACACAGATGGTTGTGGAGGACGCTCGTGCTAATACGACTGCAGAAATGGTAACCAGGGCCGAATTCACATATTTTCTGAGAACTGTACCTTATTTACCGGACGAAATCATTTCCCTTCAACGAAGCCTATTTCCAGTGCCAATGGATAGCATTCAACGGACGGCTGACCTGTCCAGACCACATCAGAATACTCTCGCCAACTATCATTCGAGCAGTGGCTTAATGGATCATGGGTTTGCTAGTATATTCTACGGATGATGAATCAAACTGAGTGAGCACAGTCTAGCCTCATCGATCCAAAACCACTTAATTCACAGTCGACACACCACTGAAATCGAGTCCTATTTCAAAAGGTACGAGGAAACGACCACATGCTTCTTCAATGCATGAATATCGTTTGGCACAAGAAAGTATCCGTAAAAAAATTGAGTGTAACGACAACCTTGCTTTGGTATTGATTTGCGGGACTTCTGATGTCGCCGCTCAGGGAATCCACTGACCGATTACTTGTTGGTACAGAAACACTGAACAATGAGAGATCACGCGTGTACAATGACCCAGAAATAGGTTATAAACAACCAAAATGGAGCGTGAAAAATTCGGGGCGCAGGAAAAGATGCCTGTTACCTGTGGCGCAAGCTCTTGCTTAGTATAAACGAATTCCTCAATGGCCGAAATCTGGGTCAACCGAGTGGCGAATATTAAGGCCACATTAAATTGATCTGATTCAACAACATTCCATTCATACTGATGTTAGTACGTGAGGAAAGATGGTAACAGACCGCAGGAGTCGAAAAAGTGGTCATAAAACAAGCCAATGCAGTGGAAACATCGACGTGAAAGCTGCAAGACGTAAGTGGTACGCCAATCAGTTTTAAAGTACATTATTTGCTTTCAACCACTTGTGTGCACACACATGGGTTGCGCGTTCGTGTGGGAAGTAGAAGCCAAAACTGGAGATGTAACTTAGTTGAATTTCTCAACGAAGACCTGCCAAAGTTCGGCTATAAACTACAGTCTGTTAGGGTGTATTGAACAGACTACAACAGTTTCGGTTCCTTGCTTCAATTCGTTACTAACGCACGCTCCGGTGTATATTATAGCAGAAATACAGCGAACCAAGAGTGTAACATAAGATGTATCCACTTGGATTGTCTAGCCATAAAGATCAATCCCACAGTGATGTGCACCGGTATAAACAACTAGAAAGTTTGGTCAGTTAGCTGCTACACTATGCTAGTGAACTTGAATACCTTGGTCAAGTGTCGGTAATCTCTAGCCTTTCCTAGATTAACTGCCTGGTTGTTTTGCTCATCATCGTTCTTCAAGCCCGCGAAAATTCTCCAACAGCACCACAGGTACAAAAGACCAAAAACGGTTGCATTCTTACATCCAAAAGCAGCGTTTGACTCATCCATCGCGTTCCTCAGCAGCGATGTCCATTCCCTAACCCTAAAATGTCAGGCCCTTTATAACAGTGGAGTTTGGTTTTCCCAAGTGTGTGGAATCCACAAGCCTGATATCACCCAAGCCAGTACTCCTCAATTTTTATATTTTGATGAACAAAAGCATAATTCCAGATCCGGAAACAGTGCGACGTACCGTTCTCGCGATACAGCACCTCAAATTCCCTAGCCACATGTGGGCCTGTTTAGTTGATTCAGCAACCCCTCGGTTGTCCTAGTAAACCTCCAGTTGCCATTTGTGACTAGACCCGGTCGATGGTACAGGCGCGAAAGCATGTAGGAACACATGTCGGCGGAACCACCCGGGATGAGATATTTGGTCGCGCAGCCTGAGCGTGAACTGACCGTTTCCCAGACCCTTTGACACATGAACCTAGTGTACTTTGGTGTAAAGAAGGAATCTGCTTATGAGAATGCAAATCCAGCACAACATAAACGATGTAGACGTGTCTCACTGGAACATGCCTGGGTGAACTATGAAGTTGGGAGGCATGTGAGGGAACGATGGATGCTTGTAACCAGATCGATCGGCTTTCCGATTCAGTGCAGTAAAACCTGTTGAAAAAATCACACAGGTAGTAGACTCTGATACGGCTTGAAAACCTTATGTGAACAATGTAACTGAACATCTCTTCGTACGTTGACACTGTGAAGAAACGGTATCCCAATCCCGCCACACATCTTTTAACTCCATAAGAAAGGGAATCTTTGATCCCACCATAAACAAGGGATCAACCAACAGTTGATGAACTTTGAAGGAGAGCCGCGTTCCATGTTCCAACCACTCAAAACGTACCTGCATAGTTAGGACCAGTACGAAACAGAATAAAAAAGTAAAATGCCAAATTCTTTTGCTGTGTTATTTAAGGTGCACAACCAAACACCTGTGAGAAGGAGCTGGCAATCGTATTAGCCTGTAACAAAGAGGGACGTGACGGTGGCCTCATAAAAATCATAGAGGGTTTTGTGTAAATAAAACGGGACATATCCGTAAGAGCCGACCATCAGTAAGAGCGGACACTACAGGGAACACCTGTACAACATTGCTATCAATACATCAAACGCGTATGGAATACGCGGCGAAGTTCTGTGATGCCGCTCAAAAGTCATCACAGTAAAGAACTTATTGTCTCATGAAACTAGATATTTTTCCTTCTTCCAGTCTATCACGTTAAGGAACAGTACCAAGGTACAGCAAGAATGCATTTATGGAAGCGTAACTATGTAATCTAATCATTCCAAGTAAAAAATCAGAACTGAGCAAGTTTATTAGTAGTATGCTGAGACTGATCATTAAATTAGCTTGGGCGTATAACGCAGAATAGACAAGGTTCTCCATATTAATTGAAACAACCCACTACGTCTCGGGGATCCAGTGTCCAGACAGCAAGCGAATGGTAGCCAGGGTAGGGGATTATTCCGCCACGCATTAGCACTCAGCTATAATCACCATCATCATCATCATCATCATCATCATCATCATCATCAAAGACAGCAACATCAGTGTTGGCACTGATGCTTCACTCAGCTATAAGCGAATAAATGTTGTGTAATAGGACTGTTCGTCGATGGATGTACCCAATCAAAAGGATTACTTCTCTTTGACTTTGCAGAAATAAATTCGTTTAGTTTAGGTTTTAAAAGTTTGCATCAAACATCCAACCTTTGGAGTGCACCGATAGGAATGATACGAGAGGCGCACTGCCGTTGACTGGGATAACACCATTCGGTTACTCAGTTAAACGAAATTGAAGCCGGGTGCGGCAAAATAGAGATACGCGAGGTGAAACCGTGAACAACTGATGTAGGACCACCGTGTGAAATTCGAATTCATGAAGACCAAGAGGAAAAATGGATTTATTTCACGAAGCGCGTTAAAACACAAAGAAAGACCATTCAAAAATACGTTGCAAGTCCTGTCATCCGCTTCGGTGGGGGGAACACTCAGAAGAACAACGTGACTGGGCCGAAGTGCCTAACATAACGATCAAAGCAACATCAGCCTCACAATAGGACTTTAAATGCTCGATTCCAACCAAACAAATTAAACATATCTGAATCTTCGAAGAGATACAAAACACCCGATCCTGACTGACTTCCTCCTGCCCTGTTTAAAGGTGACAACGCTGACAAGTCCTACAGAGAAGTTCGAAGGCTAAATAGTGACAGTGGAATGGTAGATATCTACACGCTAGATCCGAATGTCAGTCATGGAGCTCTATCTTGTAACCAACACTGCTAATCTGCTTTTCAGGGGCACCGCGAATATCAAGAGATCCTGCCCGAGTCATGGATGCACTGGCCGTATTTTGGCTCAGCAACAACTTGAACGCAAAATATAGGACTGCTGTCTTCTTATACTTAGAATTAGTGTCCGACCTAGTCGATTGCACAGCTCTCGCAGTAAAAGGGAAAATTGATCGTTCGGCAGAGGGTGAAAATGGTTCAGTTGTAAAACTCCTTCGGTGCCTAGCTGTCATGCCACCTGAAGGAGGCACGAGGGCGGAGATACTGCCAAGTTGCCCAAGCCTAGAGCAGCCGAGATACAGTGGTCGTGTTCGAACCACGAACCCTCCGGTCAGTAAGTTCGCGCCTTAATCACTGAATCATCCCTAAGAGGAGTGAGATACTGCCAGACTGCTTAAATCTAGGCAGGGGCAATCGAAAAGCTAGTACTAGCTTTGAAACACAGAATCACCGGTTGGTAGCTTCACTTCCCAACACCTGAACAACGTGAAGCTGGAGAAGACACAACAATAGTCCACTGAGCCGAGGTGTATAGCTACCATGCAGCGCAATCGACAACAAAAAGGTAGACACAAAGCTCTTCTGCGCCGTTCCGCTGCAGCAAACCTTCAAAATCGTCCTATTTTGTTCGGGGTAATCAACAAAGACATCCAACAAGTTAAAAGAAGCATCTCAATAAAGCGCACGCAAGATCCAGGACAAGTGGAAAAAGCTAACTAGCCTTCGTGAACAAAGATACGCAAATTCGTGAGAGTTCGGATTTTATGTGATAAGGTTGTCGTTAACATGATTGCTTGTGACCTCGACCTGTCAGGTAAACATAGGAAAAAATCGTATCAACACACTTTTAAGCCAGCCTACCTTGTAGAATAGCCGCTCATTTCGGTCTTGCAAAGCAGTGAGGTAGCTGTAGCGTTGCAAATTGTCAGACATTTTCACCAGATTGATCATCATTTTCTCAATCTGTTGATCGATTGTGAGTACAGCTGGCGGTACCAAACCGTGGATACCAAGGATTTGGCGCTCCCGCAAACTAAACCCGGTTCCCTGTGGAGACAGTAAAAAGTGAACCATGCACTCTAGAATACAAACACGAAGGGAGAGAATCCGGGTGAAAATGTAGATGGGGAATGTGAGACAACTTTAAGGTTAAAGCAGGGTATCTGCCAACTATGTAAATATGTAGTTTAGTGAGTCTTGAAGAAAACTATCCAGTGTCCTAATTTATCGATAATCACGTGACCTCTGTCCTTGACCTCTCTGAGTTCCAGCTTGTGAACTTTGTTGATCTAACTCCAAAGAGTTTCTTGTTTCTCGGTTTGTTAATCCGATGTTCGACTCTCTTTGAGTATTCCGGTTGAGATATTCGTCCTTTGCACGTAGTGGTGCGTAAATTTGATCTAGTTTAGTGTGTCGGAGAAGAAAAGCACATGCGCAGAGAACCACGCGTCCCCAAGATCGCCATTGATGCCACACGTTCCGGATAGCAGATGCGTTGGCGGAGCTTACCAAACATGGCTTACCAGTATGGGACGAGATGGCTCAAGTGGTTAGAGCGCGAATTTACCGACCGGAAGGACCGTGGTTCGAACCCGACCTCTGCCTCTCGACTTCCCCTGTCTGGGTCTGGGCAATCTGACAGCATTCCAGCCCTCGTGCTTCCTTCGGATGGCATGGCAGCTAGGCGCCGAAAGGGCGCTACAGCTGAACGATTTTTTTATTTATGGGACCAGCGGAGTTGGTGCAAAATCGTTCACGATAAGAACGTCACCACTGGCTGGAGAGAACGAACAAGAGAGTGACCGTAAGTGGTCATTCAGCCATCCTATATATTTACGCAGAAGCTCTGTATGTTTGTCTTGACAATACAGCCCTGTCCCGGGTTCTCCCTCTTCTTATCGCGCAGTTTGGCAAGCTCAGTTCAAGGGTAATCAGTAGACGGACACCCACGATACAACAGTCGGTTGATCGAATCCGTCGTAAAGAACCATGTTTTCGGAAATTCCGTTTCGTATCTCGTGTCTCCGTGTGACAGGATTTTTGTGTTTTCTAGATTGGATTGGTGACCTTCTAGGTCTCCACGTACGGATATCAGGGATAGAGGGTCACGTTATGTCCCTTCATTGGCCTGCATAATTTTCCCTCAGTTTGCTCAAAGTACAGGTTGTTGCAGTTGATTTGGTGATCACATTGTACCTCTTAGTTGTGTCTTTGGTATCTTCCGGTTTTGAGGTCAGTTTCCGTCGAGTGAGGATTCCTTTTTGAGATAATAATCAGGCAGTGATCTCAGATGTACTCTTGATGTAAGATGGAACTATCCGCCTGTTCACTTGTTTTTGCTGTTGCTGTTGAGATGCTTTCATCTTCAGGCTTCTCTTGATAAAATTCCCTGGATATCTATTGTTCTTGAACACCGAATAGATGGTTTCTTTGCTTCTTCCTTAGTTCTATGGTGCTACAACGTGTATCCACCCTCTTGAACATGGTTTGACCGCAACTCTTCCTGTGGTTCATCGGGCTGCTGTTGTGGTGGTTCTGTATTTGTCTCTTTACGGTATACGCAGGTTCCCGGGGTCATGTTTACTTTTCTGTTCACTAAACTGTCCAAGAATCGTGGTCGGTTGTTCCTCTTCAGTTCGATTGTAAACTTGTCATCTTCAAACGTGGTATTGAGCAGTTGACCTTGAGATGGCTCAGCGGTTAAAGTGCAAATTTACTGGCCAGAAGGCCCGTGGTTTGAAACCGCCCTCTGCATCTTGACTGCTACTTTCTAGGCAACCTTCCGGCCAGTAAATTTGCCCTTAAATCATTCGCTGTTATACTGTCATACTAGGCCAGTTGTTAACTATCGACAGCCCCCGGCATGTTTGCGCAATGACTTTTCTCCTTCATGGTTACACTGGCATCAGTATCACCACATGCGGCTCCGCAAAAACCGAGTGACTCCCAAATTAGAACAGGCATCCGGAAAATCTGATTCAGATGCCAGACAAACAGACAGAGACAGGCAGGAAATAGAGAAAATGTGGACCGGTGATTTAAAAGCGTTCGGTGCGAAAGCTAATTTTCATTCCGATAAAAAGCGACTTACCTTGTTCGTACTAGGATCACGCAGAACATCCATTCCATGGTGTTTGACCAAATCTGTTAGTTTCGTCTCTCTAGAAGCGTTTCTGATATGCGCCTGGGATTTCATCAGCTTTGAAAAATTGACGAACTGACGCTTCATTTTGGTCAGCGACTACCGGTAGTCCAAAGAGAGCAGACGCTGTAGAAAACATAGGAATGGTAGAAAGTTCGTCAGACTGAAGGTGCGTGGTCTGAGTGATTATAGCATACCGAACCCACTGTCAAAAACAAACTACCCGCCTCCTGTATCTCGCTCAAGATAGTCCAAAGGTACGAACCTACTACCCGGAAGGTTCATAGTTCGAATCCAACCCTGTAGTCCCGACTGCTCGTAGTTAAGCTTCGGAAACGTAACTGTCTCATCTCTCATGCGCTCTTCGGGCGGCATGGCAGCTAGGCTAGGATTCAAACGGAAGGGTTGAAATGCTACCACGTTGCCCAAACGTAGATAGGAATAGTCGAGATGCCAGGTTCGAACCTCGAACCTTCCGATCACAATTTCTCGCCTTAACCACTGAGCTATCTTGAACCTAAAAAGGGTAAGAGAGATAGTTGGTTACCATCCCCTCAATGTTTATCTTCGACCACTTTACCAGAGTTTGGTTACCACCCCATCAACGTTTATCTTCAACCGCTTTCACAGTCCGATTACTAGCTCATTAATGTTTACCTTCATCCAGAGATGGCGAGATGGCCCAAGTGGTTAGAGCGCTAATTTACTGACCGGAAGGTCCGTGGTTCGAATCCAACCTCCGCCACTCGACTTCCCCTGTCTAGGCTTGAGCAACCTGGCAGTATTCCAGCCCTCGTGCTTCCTTCGGGTGGCATGGCAGCTAGGCACCGAAAGGGTGCTACAGCTGAACGCTTTCATCCACTCATATAATCTGTTCAACGCATGCACATCCGCTGTTTCATTCCTGTCCGCATTATGACGAACATGCGCCCCACGACTAACCAAGAGTGTTGGAATCTTATCCTAAGACAAACAATGCAAGCGCATCCTCACTCACAACATATATATATATATATATATATATGCGGAACAACGATCCCACAACCCGACGCTCGTCAGTTCACACAGCGCCTTGACCAGACCATTTCAAGCCGACGCACGACTCACTGTGCAGGAAAAGTCTGGGCTCGAAATCGTTTTGGATTAAACGACAAAGAACAGGCCAGATTTCAACACACTCGGTCAAGACCCCATTCAATTCAACGGCGTCCCACAAACATTGGCTGCATCGGCTACAACTTATCAAACGAAGAACTCGATAAGTCTCATACTTCTTTTGTCCATTATTCAGTTGTAATTTGTGTCTCTGGTAGCCACTATACATAACTGTTTATTGTTAGTGCTATTTCACCTTCTGATATTACTTCGAGTAAAAA